GGGGGATACTCACATGAGGCGGTTCTCCACTTTAGTGCATTTCTGGTGAATCTATGCAATTTAAGAACTAGTCGGGACCGCAGTGCTCGAGTAGGTACAGACAATTTTAACTGAGTCGAAACAACCGCAACATTGCTAGTCTTTCCATAAAATACAACCGCATACACCGGTTGCATTCCGGAAAGTCAACGTTTCTGCGTTGTTGGGGCCTCCTTCGCATTTTCCTGGACAGTCGATTAGGCCAGAAAACACTGTGGCACACCAGGCCGGTAGTAAGCGTTTGGCCGATGGAACGTTCGAAATAGTCTGGGTCATGAGCGACGCCCCAACTTCCGGCAAGTTGACTAAAAAGTAACTTCATCCGCCAGACACTGCTTCCCTTGACATGTGACGCCAGCGCCGTGTTTAGCTGGTTGCGCACTGACCGGTGCAGATGCTTGACCTGCTGAGGAATTGCTGAATTATTGCTCTTACTAGGGACTATTTGTCACAATTCATCTCATAGACCTGCCCCCCTCTGATATCCAGCTGGTTTACGCATACGCAGTTGCAGCCTTCTGTACAGCCATCACGGAGACGGTTATTTATTCGCCGGAATCATGATTCTGTTAATCTAATCGTTTAAACTCTTACTGGAGTCTATCATAAGAGATAAAAATGGCAATAAAATAAACAGGCAGTAGTTAAAGGCTGTAGGGGGCTAATCAAACACTAGTGTGAGTCATACGGCACGATAATCACTGTTAAAACCGCAGATAAGGAGGCCTTCTTTATCGTAAAAACATTTCAGACTTTAAGTTAGCACCTTTTCAGATCGTCGATGGAAGCGAATATCGAGTTCCAGGAGGCAGTTCAGGAGTAGAAGATGCAATCACGGGAACAAGATGTTTATTTGCCTGGCTTTTAGAGTCATTAATTGTTGCAATTTCGTCATCCGCGTTGGATGTGGGCTTGATAATTCGCGCCTAGCAAGAGGTGAAAAACGCGTGAACCGCGAGCTGCTCGAATCATGATTCTCATGCCCACGGTTAATCAAGAAGCGCAAAAATTTGCCGTTCCCATGCTCCGTACTGAGATATTTTCTGAGCAGGAGAATCCGTCACGTAGGAAGGGCCGGGCCCAGCAACAACTCCGGCAACAGC